CATACTCTTCCTCCTAGTTTTTTAAAGCAGTAGTAGTATACTAGTAGTAGTAAATAGTGGCAAATGATCCCCAAGCATTCAAAATTAGCAGAAGTTGCTATTCACTCTCTTTTGTTCCAGTCAACTACCACAGTACTATGAGGTGACAGAAGGTTTAGGCTACAGTTCTGATATATCTGTAAGCAGGTGGGGAACTGCAGGCCCTGACACTTTCTCTGGCCCTACTACTGAAATTCAAGGGCACAAATGTAGAAAATGAGAATTGTGATTCTTTGCCCATTCATGGCATGAAATGCAGAAGAAATGTACCCTAAAGCCTAAGCCCTAAAATAGGATTAGGCTATGCAAAATGTTTTTAAGAAGTTCTTGAACTCAAAACTTCCAGAATGCTTGCAATCCATTTGGAGTTCAAAACATGTTTTGGATTCAAGACAATTCAAATTGAAATGTTTTATACATCACAAAACCAGGGGGGGGAAATGAAAAAACCCTGAACCTGTCCTCATTCATCTATTCTGTATCCTTGACTGCCCACTGCAGCACCTGCCCCCCCCCCCCCAAAAAGCCAAAGAGCGATCCCTGCCCACTCCTGATTTGGGCAACAAAAGGTATTTAGCCCAATTGCTGCTTGCTAAGTGCCAGTGTGCCTGGGAAGCTTCTTCAAGACAAGCGCATCGTAGATATATTTCCCTCATCCACTGCTCAAGAGGAGGAGGTGGAAGATCAGGCCAATCTTCTCTTTTCAACTCAAAGGCAAGAGAGAGAGAAGAAAAAAACAAGAGTTAACTACAAAGACTGGGCTTCTTTTAAGATGCATGTGCAAAAGCCTAGTTTTAAACCAAATGGATTTCCTAGAATGATTTTTCAACTTTCTCTAGCCACTGGGATTTCACCAGGCATGGGCTATGAATATATTTATCAAACATTTGCTTCAGCATTAACAACTAAAACCCTAAAAAAAAAAAAAAAAAAAATGCTGAAGTCTCTTTTGCCAGGCCTGAAAACACATCCACTCGGCCTGGCTGTCTTTTCAGAGGTACTAGGGCATGTTGCATAAGAGCAGAGGAGGACAGGGACCAAGAGAATGCGCCCCGGCAGGGACAGTCACATCGTGTCAAGCTCCTATGAGAAAAGACAACATTCTCAGGCATTTTCTTCTCTATCAAACATGGGTTGTTTTTGTTTATTCTTTGAAACTTGACAAGCACTCTAACATCTGTACTTGTGGAAACATCACAAGGAAACAAACAAGAATTCTAGACTTTTTTCTTCCTTTTAAACCTTATTAAAAATGAGGTTGGTCCTAAAAATATAGAAAGAAATCAATTTAAATTCACAAAAAACTGTACATTATCAAAAATTCACTAAAACAAACACATTTGGTTATTCATATAAAAAGTTTGATTCCCCCCCCCCTTCCTGCTGTTCAGAACATCTCACAGGATGATGGGTTGGTTGGTTCCTTTCCATTACCAAATTAAGATGAAAGGGGAAGAAAAAGCCAGTGGTTGAATGATAAGGCCAATTCTAGTTGCAATTCTTAAATTAAATTCAAAAATCCATGTAACTTTAAAAAAAACAAGGGTTTTATAAACTGATTGAAAAGACCATATCCCTTAATGAAGATCAAGATTAGGTCAAACCTGGATTCATTCTTTTAAGGAGTGTGAGGCTTTGAATCTAAAAATCTAATGTTTCTATAGCAAAAAAACCCAAAACCAAAACCACAAAACTCTAAACTAAAAACCAGAAATTAACACTTCCAAACTCTAGAGTTCTCTCATGACTGACAAAAAACAAAAACAAAAAAACCCCCAAATGATCCAGAAAAAAATATTACTAAAAAACCCACCAAAAGAAGTTTTGTTACAGCACGTTTAGATAAAATATAAATATTTATGCATAATATAAAGTCAGTTTCAAATAGACTTCAACTCTACCTCTTTATTTTAAAAGCCAAAAAACAAAAATCCCCAAATTTAAAATAAAATAAAGATTGAGGTTATTTGATATAAAAAGGCTACGTTTTGTTGAAAACAATTGGGAAGGAAAGTGAGGTTGGGGTGGAGGAAGCACAGTAAGGGAGGTTTCCATCTCCAGGTTATATCACCTGTGGTTACATTTTACTTACATCAGTGCTCTTGCAATTGGATTGGTTGACGCGGATAGAGGAGAAAACACGCACGGACACACACACATGCATACACACACATACGCACCCCTATGTCACTCCAATGTAGCACAGGTGGATATCAGGGAGGAAAGCCATCTCCTGATAGGACCCTGCCAGCCAAGTATCTGCCCCAAGTGATACCCGTAATTATAATGGTTTGAGGAGCCAGGCTGGATATGAAAGCAGCAAGGGAGTGAAGGTTCCAGGGGGTGGCTTTCTATGCCTCTGATCCACCAAAAGTGGTGGAAGGAAAATGGAAGAACCAAGGTGTTTCCTCTGAACAGTCCCATATACCATCTGGAGGGTGCACCAGAATAGGGGCTGCTGAATCACCATTTGAGACCAGAAACCAGCAAAGGAGCAAAGAGCAGTCCCCTCGTTGTAGTGTGGCTGGGCTATGAGAGTCTCCAAGCCTGCAGCTCCTGAACAGAGCACAGGCCAGCTGAACAGGCTCTCTAGAAACCAATTTTCAGTAACAGAGTGAGGTGGGAGTTCCTGGATCATGTTCTGTCTTGGAATACAGGATGCAAATAAGCATCGATGTACCATCAAGGAATGACAGAGAGAGAGCTGCTACACTCAGACTGAAAAAAGTTGGCCAATTCATCTTATCTTTTCTTAATAAAAGTTCTCAGGGACATTTTTAAAGGACCAACCAGCCAACTGGTACACGCACTGGTATGCATGTGCGTACACACACATATATACATACACAGGCACATACAGAGATGGAGCCTTTGTTGCAACCACTATCCATTTCTTGCTTCAATAAGAGACAAGCAAGGGAGGGAATGACTTAAGAGGAGATTGGTTTCAACCATGACTTGAATCTGGCAAGCTTCTAGCACCAGACACCCAAATGCACAGGAGCAAATGACAAACTGGTAGAAATGATATGCAGGAAAACTATTATGGTTAGAATAAGTTTGCTTCCTCCTCTCAAAACATTCAAAACTAAGTTCAAATATAGAGTAGGTTAAAATATTCACATGTGGTATGTGTATAAATTAAATACTATATAGAAAATGTAGACCAAAATGAAGGGAAACATGTATAAACAGGTCTGGATCTTTAAACTAGAGTCAGCTGTGGATATTACACAAAGATGTCAATCTGAGCACAAGCTGCTCTATTTCCAATTTTTGTGCCTCCTGTGTAAATGCAGGAAGCAGTAACTTGTATCCCGCATCATGAGATATAAAGATTTCTACTTTGCCTTCATTTGCCTGTAACATCCAAAGCTGCATTTAGACTGAATCCCAGTCTTGATAATCAAAGGAGGCTGCACTCTAGATCCCACATATTAAAACATGGTCAGGAAATAGAAACCTAACATGGAAGAGAAACAGTGACAATCCTCCATCATCTTGTTGAGGTCCAGATAGCTACTGAAGAACAAAAGGATTGTATTCCTTCCATTATAATGGAGACAATCCCACATCTTTCTCAGGAGGGAAGCAACCTTACAATAGATTATGGGAGTCACATGCCAAGGCAGGAAACAAACAATCCTGCCACACATACACAAAGATGGCAGATCAAGCTTTGTAGACGGTAGCTATCCCTGAGGAATAACACTGGGGCAGAGTTGGATGGGGAGGGCTGTGGACATTCAAATAAGGCTGAGATCCCATGAAGATCTCCGGAAGAACCGGCATCAAGCATCCAAAAGCCAGTTCCTCCAAAGATGAGGATTGGAGCAGCCCAGTCCTGCAAGCTTGTATACTCTGGTCCCTCATAGCCCAATGAGTCATTCCAGCATATTACCCACTATTGGAGGGGAAATGAACTGTGTGACCATTAGACAGAGGAACCTCCTCCAAGATACTATAGTGACTTCATTAACTGCCCCTGTGGAGAGATCAGGAGGGGGGAGAGTGTAAAGATTAGTCCAAGTTAATCATCGTTTGCACACCTAGAGAAAAATACGACCT